CAAAATTAGTTGTCGTTTTATCAATTTAATGTCAATAAGAATAAGAATAAAAATACCAATTAATTACATAAATAATGTACGACAAATCGCGTAGTTGAGCGTGTCATTATGTTTTCTTTTTCTTCGAAAGAACAAGTTGGATGCACCACAGTCCATCGTCAAGTTCGAATGTCAAAAACGCGCAAAAGCGCGCAAATTTCTAATGAGAAAGAAAGCCATTCCGAGCTAGTGAAGTGAAAAGATTATTTTCATTCACCATTCACTCTGAATGGAAATATGTAATTAACTTTTCCCCTGAAATTGTAAGTTACGTCGAATCATGCTCAAGAGGAGGATATATGTGATATTAATAGAGTCTAATAACATAGAGATTTACTAGATAGGTACGGTTAGATATAGGGTAAAGTGTCGGAGGCAAGCGCCCCCCCGGCGCGCGCGCATTGTGATCGACAGCTTGTTTACTAAAAATATGCATAATGAATTTATAATAGCGACAAGTCATGTTGCCTCTTTCTTTCTGATAGAATCTCTTGCATCGAAGGTGAATGGACAATCGTTTTAAAATAAACATGTGGTCTTTTTATTAGAATAAATTTATCGAATGCAACTTTTGTTACATAACCTGGGCACAGATCTCTCTAAGGCGAGCATTTAATGCGTCTTGAGAACTACAAAGGTTTTTTATTTGTTTTAATGATATCTCTTGACGTGACGAATTAGTCATACGCCTGGTGACAAACGACACGCCTGTCAGTGCTTTAAAACGCAAAAGCACTCACTGCTACTGCATCCGATGATCACTCTGAGACATAAGTTGAAAGTCCTAATACCTGTAATTTCACCAGTACCCTTACCCTTCTAAACCGGAACACAGTAATGTTACATTACTGCTTGACGGAAGAAAGTGGTAAGGTGGCAGTACTTCCCTGGACGAACACTTTCACAAGAAGCTCTACTGTTACTAAATCTATAACTCTTTTTTAACTGATTCTCTATCAAGTTCATTGAGAAATGAACCAAGCACATGACTATATAATAAATATGACAACATTATTTTTCAACATGACTATACTAGCTGTCAGTTTGTATTTGCTAATTAGAAATTAGACCAGGTCTCGCGCCTTGAGGAAGATTTCCCATGCACTCAACGTTAACTGTTGCATACGCAGTAAAACTTAACATTAGAGTCCCGGAGCTACATAAGTAAGAATCCCGAAAGTAATGCTTGGTGCGAGAAGGTTAATTGCACCTTCTCTGTTCCCACGTTTTAACAGCGCGGTGTTTGGGCTCGTAGTTAGCGTTCGATTGTTTTAGAGTCGAAGACGACGTGGGCAAACATTGCTCTTCCTGAGTTTCACATCGAATTAACTTGTGGTTCATGGGCCACTACAGAATAGTATCCTACGAACAAACTTCATATTTGTTTTTTGCGAAATTCAAAAGGGTCATGCCGTATTTACTATACGTAGTAGCAGTAGAGTTTATTCTGAAAGACTGTGAAATTCGGTTACGGGAGTACTACCTTACCTATTTTTCCCGCCAAGCATTACTGCGTTCCGGTTTTGATATCCTGCGCCATAAGTTGACAAGTCCCATGTGCCTGTAATTTCACCAGCACCCTTATTTTTCTAAACTGGAGCACAGTAAAGCTGACATTACTGCTTGGCGGCAGAAATAGGTAAGGCGGCAGTACTTCCCTGGACGAACTCTTTCACAAGGAGCTCTACTGCTACAAGAATCATGCTTCGAGGTCAGTTAAAGTCAGTAAGCTTAACTGGCAATGGGCTGGGCATGTCTGCTGGAGGATTGATCGCCGATGAAGCAGGCTTGTTCTGGAATGGCGACCACGTCAAGGAAAACGTAGTGTGGACGCCCTGCGACAATATGGACAGAACGGCAGCACAAGTCCGGGAGAATTGGTATGCTCAAGGGTAGGCTTATATCCAGCAGTGGATGCGTGTAAATTGATGATGATGAGGTCAGTTAAACCGTTTGCGATCTACGATGCAGTCACATACTTGCAGGTAAACCAATAGGTACCTAGACAAAGGCTCCAAACTTACGACTCCCTTTTTTTACGTCAGGGTTTAATAAAAACAAACCAAATCATATTTCAAATTACTACGCTCTTAATTTGCTCAACTCAAAATTTTAAAATAATTGTTACTTTTTTATAAAACGTAATCGACTTCAAAAGTAAGTAAGTGAAAATATATCTATTTGCCAAGTTTTAAGAATGAAACACACAGAGAGCGGGTGCGGGTGAGACGCACGCGCCCGCGTTTGGTCTGTTGTCGTGCATAAATACACGGAATTAGACCGTCACGGTCCCAACCCGACACGCGCCCGACTCGCACCCGTTCTCTGTGTGTTTCATGCTTTATTGAAATCGGTTACCGGAAAGTGCGTGAAACCGGATGCATACCCTAGTCTGCCACACTGCCACACTTATAGGTGGAATGTATTTTCTTTAAATTTAAATAGGACCAATACTGAGGTATCCTCATTCCACCAAAAAAGAGTCACCTAAATCGGTTCACAAATTCTTTGCCGGAGTTATCGTGTAACATACATACAAAAAAAACGATCGAATTGAGAACCTTCTCCCTTTTTTTAAAGTCGGTTAATAAGAACAATCGAATCTTCCTGCAATAGCACTTCGATTGGAATGCTGTTGCTTCGCCTTTGACGGTTCGACAGTAAAACAGAGTAATTAAATTATCTCCCAGGCACAACAAGGAACGTCCTGACTAGAATCAGTTACAAAAGTTCGTTATCAAAACTAGTTCGACCGGAAATCTAACCTGGGACCTCCTAATCTAGCGCTCACAGTTCTAACCACTGAGTCACCGAGGTCGACAGGTCACCAGTCATATACAGTTACATTTTTTACAACGAGTGCAATAAATTATTTGCGCAACGTTTATTGAAAGATTAAGGGAAGTGTATTCCAATTTTTATTAAACTTTTGTTGATTTTTTGTTATTTATTATGAACATAACAGAATTATAATTTTGACACTCAATAAATTATAATTAAAACAAAAACTATTGCCTATCGAAAGGACTAAGTTTAAATCCGCTAAAAACCATCAAAATTATTTTCCCTCTACTTACTATTATTGTTCTTTTATAATTTTATGTGCAAAAGAGGATGTGTTTTTATTTATTGATTCGTTCAATACATAATAAATAGGGTTCTTTAATAAAGTTTATTGGGGGTACAGAGGATTGGGAGCATATCAAATGCGCCGTATGCCCCATTCGGCACGGACTCAATAAACGTAGCGTATTGCGAGCACGTCGATTGATAATTGTCATTGGGATAGGCAACTCTATTTTGTTTTGCAATGAAGTCTCATGTAAATCACAGCAAAGGCCTTTGTTTAGCAACGACCATTTTAGATCCATGCGCACCTAAATGTCTACATTACTCATGCCAACAATAAACCGTTAAAAATCAAGAATCACTTTGTTAAAACGAAACATGTTGAATTTCTCGCAACTCTTTATTAGTTGGTGGAACGTTCGTAGAAGTAATTATGTACGGTACTCCAGGCTATCTCGTTGTGAATGTAGAAGGGCCTCGCCGTGCGGGGCGCCCGGGCCTCGATTCGTTACATCAATCTGTACATTTTTTCACTACGATATCTGCATAGAGTGAGTTGACATTGCGATACAATGCCGCATGCGGTGCGAGTCGCATTGTCCGCATTTCTTTATAAATATTTTGACATTCCCTTTATTTGCCGGGGAGTTATTTTACAAATAAAATTGTGTCGATCCTTTTTGTGCGGTGCGTTTTAATTTGATTTATTCTTTCATTACAAAATAGCCGACATCCTGTGCCGGCGCGCGGCGCGGCCGGCAGCGTTTGTCAATTTGTTAGCACGTCTATTGGTATTTTCTTTAGTAGGTGCAAACAAAAGTCTCGAATTGTTTCTCAGAGTTCCCGTTCAGAATGGATTCCACTTACAGACCTTTTAGGCAGACGCTGCGAATTACGATGCAAATATTGGTCATCAGTTTATTTACTTAATACATTCAATTTGTATTTCGTTCGACATGTACTAATGGGTAACTGATTTCGATAACGACACTGTATTAAACACAACATATAATAATAATATGCTAAATATTTGTAGAAAAGTTTGTAAATGTAAAATTCCATCGAGAGCCGTAACCTGGGGCATCGTCCAGAAGGCTGGCAACATTTCCCGTTTGAATTGCTAAATTTATTCTTTGGCGGAAATGACTGCCAGTCTTGTGATCACCACCGGAGGCTAGGAGTTTCGCCTGTGGCCCCCAAAGACAGTGATTCAACTTTTCTACTTATAAATTTTAATATTGTATTATCATTTCTTAATTTTAATAACTATAGTCAATAAAATTTACTTATTTAGAATTCTAAAAGATGAAAAATTTTCATGTGAAAGAAAAACAAAAATTACCGAAGGTCACGCCCTGGGGTACCGTCCTGAATTCGATGGTGTTAGACTCATGACAGACAAGATTTCTTATTAGCAAAGCTAACCTTATTATTTGGTGGAGATAGTTTTAAGCCTTCCGGTCATGGGAAGCGTTATAACACTTTCTTTAAAAAAATTATGCTTTGGGGTAAAATATATATTACCGTTCATTTTCTTTAAAAAAACATGTGGATCAGTAGTAAATTATACTTATATAATTTAAGTTTAAATTTCTAGTAATTTAGCAGGGTTCAGCTGCTAATTATTATATCTATAATTATTATCTCCTCAGAAAAATTATCCTTTTCCCTGTATTATTTACAAAGTGAACCCCTAGAGTTTCTTGCTTATTCTTATCAGCGGAATCTGCCTTATAAATGAGCAATAGATTTTAATCAATACGACAATTTCAATTGTAAGTTGCTTACCTATAAAGATTATTTACCTTTGACTGATATCGTTTCCAATATACAAGACCATTATCATTATCCTTGATACGTGAATATTAACTTTCTATACTGAAATTTTCCAGAGATGCAAAGAGCGGTTGAACACACTGGCCATCAGCGTTATGATACAATGGCCGGGCGTGCGCCTGCGCGTCATCGAAGGATGGGACGAGGAAAACGCCCATTATGAGAACTCCCTGCACTACGAAGGCAGAGCCGTCGATCTGACGACAAGCGACCGCGACCGCAGCAAGTATGGATTACTTGCGGGGCTCGCGAGGGAGGCTGGTTTCGACTGGGTGTACTACGAGAGTCGTTCTTATATACACTGCTCCGTTAAGACAGGTATGTTTTTCGCATAAAATTTATTATAAAAAGGGGTTAAAAGAACAATAATCTCAGTACAGAGTACTGAAAAAACCGACCTCAAAAGTTCTTGGAATTACATCTATCACCTTTTTTCTTCAAATTTAAATGAAAGTAATACTGAGGTACCCTCTTTCTAACAAAAATGGAATCATCAAAATCGGTGTAACCGCATAATATACTCAAAAAATGCTGTCAAATGGAGAACGTCTCCTTTTTTAAAGTCGGTTAATAAATAAACATGCATTTAGCTATCACATTTATAAAACAAATGCTTCGATGGTGTAGTTATATGGAAAGCACGGATGTTAGTATGTTAAAGACACAATTGTATAGAACGAACCTAGAGACACGTGGGGCTAGGCCTACCTCGGTGTACATATCTTTACTAGATTAATGATATCCTTAAAGAAGGCCAGCTCAAAAGTATCAAATTTTGACTGGCGGGTGATGCCACTGGAGGATGCGAGATGGATACAGGTGATCCATAGTCTCTGCCTATTCCATTAGGAGACAGTGTGATATATACTCGTATATGTATTTATAAAACACAATTTATACAGAGTGGTTTAAAAATGAAAACACGAAATTGATTTTTCAATGAAATTCGAACAAATTTGAATGATTTGCAGAACTTACAGAATAGCTGTTTATATACGTAAGTGGAATGAGCCTGTTCAAATTTTAGTACTGGAAAACTCATAGTTACGTAGCAGGCACAAATTATCGATTCCAAAGTCCAAACTTTGAAATCAATTCTATATATAAATACAGATTTTTGCATTAGAAGCATCAGCCGTATACTTTTCAACAATAATATTATATTACGAAGTATTTCAATAATCACTTACTACAAGAGAACTAGAATAGAAATGCACTGGTAGTCTAGATTTCATCGCAAACATCAATTTACTGTTTTACTACTACGAATTTCTCGCACGATAGTGAATCCATTACCACCATCATCATTAACCAATTACACGTTCCATAGCTGAGCACGGGTGTCTTCCAAGAAGTTTAGGCAATAGTTCGCACGCTGGGTTAATAAAGATTAGGATCTTCACACGTTTTTCATATATTGTGAACATTCTCTTATATGCTGGTTTAGTCATGATATTTTTATGTTTTTCTAGCGAGAGGAGTTGCTATTAGATTTAAAAAATAAAGACATACAGTCAACTCGGTTAAAGTAAGCTTTCTAGGATAAATTAGAACTTCATATTATTATTATTTACAGTGCCTACGTCGGGGAATACCGCCTTTCCTATCATATAAATATAAATTAAATTTTTAGGCTTTACTGAATTTCCAAACCCACTACCACAAAAAATAATAGAAAACACGCATGTTTTATATTAACAAAAAACTACAAGGGAAAAAAGATTGTGTAGTTTATGTAGATAATTCAGTTTTTTCTTCAAATGCAGTAGCACCTTCTGAAAAGCATCAACGATCCTCAGCTGCTTCCGAGGTTCCTATAGCCCACCTAGGACTCTTTGGGAAACTATGGTTTAAAACATAATTTGCAATAAAATATGCTTTTTAGATAAAAATGTCGCATACGATAAATCGGCGGTCATGACTCGATATGACTATAATCTGCACACTTCCTTTATTTCCTTTAAAAGTGTCAAAGAACAATTCACACGTCGAGAAACCCAACTGCGCATGTGGCTGGCTACATTTTAATGATGTAGCACACGCGTAGAACAGCGCGCGTTGATATCTTTTGTACCAAGCAACCGATTCAGCCTGTTGCACATGTTGGAATTCACAAACTCGTCTTCAGAATTGTTTTCTTTACCTTCACATTTATTTCAAACTCATTGATAATAACTCACGATGCCATTCTGTACGATCGCGTGTATATTTGTTAATTGAAACAGATAAAACAAAGTGGAGCCACCGCGCCAAAGTTTAAAGAGAGAAACTGTGTCGTTTCATCGTCTCCTTAATGGGCCCATAACTGTACAGTGGGCTACAGGATGGGCCGAATATATTGTTGAACTTTACAAGAAGAATGCACCTCGGAGCTTCCCGCGCCGCGCCGTCGGTGTCGATCAAACGAACGAACGAGCCTCTTGTTAGCATTCCTCCCTCTCGCACCCACGTAATCTTAGCCATCTGTCTCCTTTCCACCAGGCCGCATCGCAGCCAATCCCCCACTTCTATAATTACGTCGGTGATTCAATGGCCACTTATATCTATATATGTGTGTGCAGCATAACGATGAAACGACTTATATGTATGAATACGTTTTGGATATAATGGAGCATTCCTGAGAGGTTGCTTCCAATTAGTTTCGCACTCATATTGATCTAAATACATATTTTTTTAGTAAAACATATTCCATAGAATTATTTCAAATAACTAGTACCCGACTAACTGATGTTACGGCAGCAAGTTAAGAAGAATAATACATGGTATCCTTATAAATAACATTCGGTTTTGTCTTTGGGCAATAAAAGTTAATTTTCATTCGTCAAAAACAACCCCTTCTTACTAGTTCTTCTCACGGGAGCCTGCCTTACTAATGAATAGATATTACGGTTTAATGATATGGAGTATAATTTATTTTGTTTATCTAAAAAAAAGGATTCTTAATATAGCATTTTAATTTATAATGACAGTGCTTATATGCAATCGACTTTTTTTATTGATTTGTGTCGCAACCCAATCAAATATTTTTATTGACGTCTCTTTGAAACAAAATCACGTCCATGTTTAAAATGAAATAAACCAATACATCATTGGAAAACATAAAAAAAGACATGGTCATTGTTTCAAGTAGTGGGCCGTAGGCCAGTGACGTCTTTCGCTGGGTCCCAGTTGATTCGCTGCATGTTTATTCATTTATTCAGAGGTTTTGTGCGAGTGGGGACTTTTTTGGTATTAATTTGGTGTTTATAAATAATTAATGTATCGTAGGTATGTTGCGGTCGTGTCCGGGGTCAAGGCCGGGTGCCGCACGAGTTTCCATCCCGTGCGCCCGCGCAGTGCTCACTCTCTCCATATTTCGAATCTTTATTATCTTAGAGCGCTCTCATGTTGCACTGCCGAGATATAAAACTTTTATAACCTTTAGAAATACCTATATAATGTTTACTATGATAAGTAATATACAGCGCACAGCGAGGAAGATACAGGCCTGATTACATACGTTTGGTGGCATATTTCTCGCTAACGCAAAAAAAAGATTGAGATAAAACCTAGCATTTCTAAAAAGGTTCAGAACAGTGTCCGACCTGGCGAGTCGAACTATCGTCTAATGCCTCTCCTGAGAAGAGACATGTGCCTACATGTCTCTTTTCAGTATCAGACGTATAATAGGTTCATGAATATATGACTTCAACAAGTTTACTCGTTCACTTATAAAAAAAATTCAACCGACTTCAAAAACCACAGAAGACACTACACTGAAAAGAAAAAAATAACAAAATACAGATTTAATCAATTTTTATTTATTTTTGGTTTATTTATATAATTACAACGTGACAATTCATGTCCAAACTTATCTATTATCTATAATTTTAATAAAACTATTATTATTGTTGTGTGTTACCTACTGATCGCTTTGAAGTTTTACTTTCCCACAAAAAAAAAATATTGATACTTAAATATTTTAATATCTAATTAGTTATTTTTGGTGTCGGTGCTAGCCAAGGAAAGAAAAACAAACAAATACCTATCTATAATGGAGTTTGTAAAATAGTTTCATTCCCTAATGTTTGTTAATTTTTCCATTTTTTATAATACGACTAGAATGTCTTTCAATAATTTGCGTTTTGAAAAAGCAGCTTTGAGGCAATATAGAATTACTGAGGCATTTTCTATAAGTTGCGTCGTGTTTTTATGACTTCCCTGATTCGTTACACTTACAAGTCATTACTGCAAGTAGCAGGCACATTAACAAGTTGTAAAAATGACTTGTGGGCTTGTAAAATATCCAGTTCTCTTACTTTTAATGTCGCATGGGTTTCATTTGTGGAGTGAAAGGGAATTTGCTCCACAGATCGCTTAAGTTGATTGATATGGCCATATGCCTTACTTATTTATCATTTACTCTTACGTGACAAGCAATAACAGACTAATGCAACATTCGTATGTTTTGTAATTTAAAATTTGAATTTGTTTAATTTATTTGAAGCTTGAATTTTTTCATAATAATCATAATGCTAGACAACCACACCTTTTAACTAATCACAAACTGAGCAATTCCTGTACCATAGTAGATTGCGTAACGAACATCGATAAATTATTTCTGATAAATATATTAGAACTAATTTGTTATTTACCCGGAATTAAAACCTGGACTTCTTTATAGTACTAACCGCTAGGCCACAGAGCTTCTATAAAGTTATTGTTAATAATAACATTATAATAATAATGCATACACTAAACATAGCTCCGCACTAGGGAAAACCCTGTGGGTGCCCACACACACACACACATAGAAAACCACAAATTACACCCAAACTCACGAGAGAAATAAATGTAGGCCATACAAATATTTCTCCCGACCCGGGAATCGAACCTGGGACCTCTGCGTGACAGTCCGGCGTGGTAACCGTTCGGGCACGGAGGCAGTTTTGTTGCCTCGTAGAGGTTTGACACTGATCTCATTACTTAAATTTTATTTTACGTAATATAGATAACACTCTTCAAATAATACCTAAACGTATTTATTATATATTTTATAAATCTGATATCATACTAGGTGAATATTATAATAAGAAGAAAATATCAATTTTATTTTTAGTACAATATTGATTTCAAGGGTATAAAATACAATAGGAAATAAAAAAGCACCTCTTATGATAATCGATAATACGACGTAGTAATACTCTGTAATAAGGATTTGCAGAACATAGTCCAATAAACAATTTCTTAGATGGTCTGCGCACCAATAAAACCTCGTGTTTTATAACTGGATCCAATTATATCAATCTCATTGGTGGAGCGATTGTTTCCTTTTTCGC